TCATCCCAGGAGGCGAGGCCGCACAGGTGAGGCGGTGGGCCTCCCCCGCCAAGAACAGGATGAGCGTGAAACATGGCGGTCCTGTGAACTCTGACCCTCGGCTTTTCAGGCCCGTCTGAGGGCTCTGTTGGTTGGGGCAGAAACCCTCCCAAGAGGGCAGGCCACACAGAGTCCACGGCCGCTGGCCACGAAGGGGCCACCAGCCTGGGTCTTGACCTGTCTGCCCACTCTGTCTCTCTAGCAGGAGCCTGAGCCCCTGGTCCCTGAGAGGCCATCAGAGGGAGGACAGCATGAAGAGGGGTCTCCACCAACCACCCGGCCCGGGGCCGCCGTCTCAGGACCATCCTGAGTCCCCACCTACAGCAGCTTCTTCCAGGGGAGGGGCCTGGGAACCCGCTTCCAGCCCCACACCCTTGGGTGGAGAACACCATCACCAACGAGGGAGAAACAGGTTGGAGGGCGACTGGCTTGAAGGCCAGGAGTGGGAGGCCAGGAAACAGGAGCGTTGGGGGTCGTCTCGGGCCCCAGGCCAGGCAGGGGGCGCCTCCCCAAGTTCTTTCTGGTTTTGGAGGCCGGGGCTCCGTCCGGGCTCCCTCCTACGGGCATGGTTTCAGATGCTTTAATAACGGAGTATTTTGAAGAGAAAGAAGCCTTCTGGGATCCGTTTGTGACACCGACCAGAAAGCTTAGCCCCCCTCGGGGGACCCGCCAGAACTCCAGAGCTGTGAGCGTATGAGATGTCTGTGTGTGTGTGTCTGCTCTGGGCTGACTTTCTGGAGAACAGAGGGTATTTATTTTAAGAGTCAAAAAAGATGTTTTGACCAACCCCACTTAGCTCAATCCTGGCACCGAGACCCGGGAGAGAAGAGAAATGCCGGAGGTCAAACCTCCCTTTTTTGGCTAAAATGCTTAATCAAAACACACCTAATACTTCTGCCGGGTGTGGAGGTGGGGTCGGGAGTGGCCAGCGGCACGTGTGCGGAGGCTCAGCTAGCAAAATAAAGAGGTTTTTCAGCAAAGCAGCAGCCTTGGCGAGGAGGCCGGGCTGCGAGGCTCCAGGAGGGGCGCGTCCGGTGGTTCTCGCCCGAGGTCGGTGGCGGGTGAAACCCACGACAATGAGCGACCCTGCGAGGCTGAGTGTCACGGGGCAGGCCGGGAGCAGCCGCCGGAACGGGCCTTCCCGAACCAGACAGACCCGGCTCTGGGAGGGGCGTCCTGTCTTCAGAGTCCGGGCTCTCCCGTCTGTGTCACGTTACGGGGGCGGCCTCCTCTTGGTCACCCGCAGTCCTACATCTGGGCTTCCCAGCAGCCACACCGCACCGGGAAGGGGTCGAGGCCCACCTCAGCAGCGGTGCACAGCCCCGGTCCCATTGGACGCCGCTCGGCATGGCTGTGCCCCCGTCTATCTGGGCTCCCACTCCGCGGGTCATGCTAGCCACCTGCCCAGCTAGGGACAGTGTGGTCTGAATGCCTATCTCATGTCCCCATCTGACCATGGACTCCCGGATGGGGGGCTACTGTCCCTGAGCTGGTGCGCAGACCTGAGGGGCAGAAAAGAGCCTCGAGGCCACGTGATGGGTGATTTCCGGGGAGGCTCCATTCTGCTTGGCTGCCCTTGGCCTCAGATGAAAGGCAGGGCCTCTGGTCACCCTTAGCCCAAGGCTTGTGGGCCCCGGGTGGGTCTGGACAGAGGCTGGCTGTGTAAGGGACAGCAGAGCTCTGGGAGCAAGGCTGCACTTGTGCTGTGCCCTGTCTGCTCGGCGTGATGGAGGGGAGCCGGCTCCCCTCGGAAAGTCACTCCTGCTGGTGCTTGACCAAGTGTTTCTGCTTGAATCGGGAATGGCCCCTGCGGGTGCCCCAGAGGCCGGTCAGTGAGCCCACGGGACCAAGGTGCCCACACTGCGGGGACACGGCCGGTGCCACCTTCAGAGACAGAGGCTGCCCTGCAGGGCTGCAGGCTGGGCCTCCCGTCCCAAACTCTCCGTACTGGGGAGTGGGCAGGAAGGAAGGTCAGTCAGGGCCACCAAAACTCAAAGTGAAACATGGCAGGGAGGGCGCCCAGGCCGACAGAGGGCCCGACAGGCAGGCAGAGGGTTGTTCCCACCCTGAGCCTGGGACAGAGTGGGCTGGAGACCAGAGGGGTCCGTGTGCGGCCAGGGGGCTGACAGGACCCCCGGATGGTCCTCCTATGCCCTGAGGGAGACGTGTCGTTGTCCTCTCCAGAGCTCTCCATGACCCAGCCGCTGGGAGTACAGAGCTGGGGGTTGGGCTAGAGCTCCCAGCAATACGTCCTCTTCCTCACCAGGAAGAGGACGGTGCCTTGTGCTGACGTCTGAGCAGAGGGGAGCAAGCCCCCATCTGCAGCCCAACCCGACGCCTCAGGGCCCAGGACGGGCAGGGGCGGGTACCATGTGAGCAGGCGCCGGCCTAGGAGCACCGCATGGCCGACGGGGCCGTGCAGGCGGCAGGGACCTTTCCGCGCAGAGATGCCCCGAGAGGCAGGCTGGGCTGGAGGGCCAGGCCTGGTTTCAGCCCAGCCTTTATCTCAGAGTGTGGTCTGCGGACGGACTCTGCTAGAGGCTCGCCTGCGCATGAACCGTGGGAAGCACCCAGCTTTCTTCCGTACTCTGGGGGAGCCCCAGGGCCACCATGGGGTGGGGGTGTCCTCTCACCAGGCCCGGGGCCGTGCCCTGGGCAGGCCATAGTCCTCCAAGACTCTGTCCCCCTCCGTTCACGGTGGCTCTGGACAGCTGCGGTCAGCTCTCGCATAGCGGGTTGGAAGCGTGCAGTGGCTCCGTGCAAGGGTACAGGCCAGCTGGGGACGGTACAGGCCAGCTGGGGATGGCCAGCCGCTCACAGATGGATACTCAGCGATCACGTGCTGGCCTTGACCTGTGGAGCACACTCTTCTGGGCGTTGTGGGGTGACTGCGTAGTGTCCCGAGGGGCCATGACTCAGGGCTCAGGAGTTCCCAGGAGTGGGGCGCTCTCCTCCCATGATTGCTTCCCATGGCCTGTGCGACGCCCCAGGGACTACACTCCCCAGGAGGTTAAAGCAGGGTGTTCTCCTCCTGGATCGAGTGCCCCCCTCTGCAGGGGGCAGGTCCACCCCATTCCAGGGACCCCGTGACCCCCACATGGAGCCCCCCACGCTGTGTGATGCTGACAGAGGCCTTCATCCTGCTGGCTGGCCGTGTTAGGGAGCCGTCCTAGGCAGCACCTCGCAGGCATGTGGACCCCGTCTCTGGCCTTTGAGCGTCGGTGAGCACGACCCCTTTCTGGAAGCCACAGCTCAACTGAGTTTCGGGCAGTCGGCTTCCTCTCTCTTCCCCTTTCCCAGGTGACCGAGCCACCAACCAGCCTCCCTGGGTCAGGATTTGAGGAAAGGACAGACACCCTAAAGAGTAGAAACGCAGGCTCCACTTGTTGGCCAGACTCGGTCCCCAGCGTCCGGGGCCGACCTCCCACAAGCCCATCCACCGCAGCCCCGGGCCAGCACCTAGCGACCTGGCCCCTTGCTGATGCCCCGGGGCCTCGCCAGGCTCCGTGGTGCTCACCTTCTCCGACTCGTTCCCTGTGCGCGTGTAACCACCTTCCAAACCATGATTTCAGAATCTATTAAAAGAAACATAAAATCCCCAACTGCTTAGAATTCTCAGCATTTAAAAATATGACTTACTGTTATCACAGCTGAGCGGGGCCGACGCGCGCCCGGGCCCCTCACCCGGCCTGCGTGGGCACCGGCGGGCGCTCTGCGCTCCCGGCTCGTAATCGGGGAGAGCGGTGGTGTAATTTTAAGGGGATGGTAAATAAAACTTCGGAGTTTGACACCATTTCTTGTGTTGATTTTCAAATATTAGTCTCAGTCTCGGTTTCTGTTCTTATGGTAACGATGTTACGATTTATAGACGCGTCCGTGCCTGCGTTTGTGATCCAGAAGAGGGAAAAGCCCGTTTATACAGCTGATTTGTCGGTTTGCCTAGCTTCGAAAGCACTCTGGGACCCGTCCCGGAAACACCGTCCCCCTGGAGTGGAGCTTGGTGGTTTCAGGAGGAGACGCCAGGCAGGTATACAGCTCTCCAAGCCGAGCCAAGAAAAGCTCCACGTCAGAACTGTCGGTGGAAGGAAGACCCAGAACGGCTAGTACTTTCTCTGCCAACTAACCTGAGCCTGCGGCAGCAGCAAGGGAAGGGCCAGAGCTCCTGGCGCTGCCCACGGCCCATGGCTGGAGGAACTTCTCACCGCCCCCCGAGGGTGCTTCCGAGCCCTGCTGTGGGTGCTACTGTGTCCTGCCTCTGCCTGATCTCCGCTGAGAAGCTTCCTCCAAAAACCACATCCACTTCCCAGGGGTCTGGGATAAAGGGCCCATTAACGCGCTGCCTGCCCCCCCAATCTGCGGCAAGGGAAGTGGCAGGGAGATGGCGTCCAACTGCAGCCCCGCCAGCCCACCTCCGCCATCTGCCCTGTCGCATCCTCCACCCCAGCCCCCCAGGTGGCGGATCGGGCCACTCAGCCAGGCTCTACTTCCCCAGGTAGCCTGCAAGCCCCATGAGGGCCCTACGGTACCCCGAGTCCTCCCGCTGACCCTGTGCGTTGGCGCTGCTCGCAGACGGGGTCAGAGGGCACAGGGGCAGACCGTTGTGCGTCTCAGAATGCCTTCCTGACCCCTTCAACGGTGTTTGGTACCATGTGTGTCTTCCCTTAAGGACCAGGGGGAGCTGCCCAGAGAGGCTCCTTCCCTACAAGGAGCCAGCTGTCTTCCCGGGAGCCGACGTCCGAGGGGGTGTCCTTGGTGTTCTCAGCAAACAAGGAAACACCGTTTGGGTAAAGGACGTGACTTCCCAACAAGCACCGTCCTCCATATTACAGGGAAGCCACGAGGTCTTGCCTTGTCGTTTCTGAGAACTTGGGATCTATCCCCAAGGTCTGCCACTGGCCGCAGCTTGAGGACGGCATCTCGGGCCCCAGACACTAACGTCCGCTCTCTAACTTGTGTTTCAGCACATGTTGGCGGATGCGGAGGTGTCGTCCCAGGAGGGCTGCATCCAAAAGGTAGGAGAGCTGGATCCACGCCCTCTCCCTCGCCGTGGCCCGGGTGCGACCCCCGGCTAGTGTGCGTGCAGCCGGGTCCGTGGGGCCACCTGCCGCTTGTGGGCGATGCGTTGTGTGTCAGAAGGCGAGCGCGGGACGGGGGTTCCGGGGACGGTAGGACGGATGTGGTCTGCACAACGTCGGCAGGCAGCGGGGCCCTGGCTCCCGAGAACCGGGAGAGCCACTCCCGTGGGAATGCTCAGGCCAGGCAGACGCAGGAGAAGTGAATAAACACGGGTCACGTTGGTGTGACCACCTCCACTGGACACTCAGTGAGAAGAATACAGACGGGGAAAGACCACAGTCGGCCGCGCATCCCACAAAGCCTGTGCTGTCCACAGCCTCCGAAGAGGGCCTGGGCGGGGTGTCGAAAAGCAGCCGATCAGGTGAAAGGAAAGGCGTCCACGGCGGGGAGCGTCTCCTGCCCTCTCGGTGGCTGATGGCGGTTCCCCGGGTGGCAGACGTTAGCCCGGCAAGATCCAGAGAGTGAACTAGCCCAGAAAAACACCAAGAAACCCAGAAGCCGTTCATCAGACAGCGCTCAGGGCCCACCCAGTCCGGGCCACCCCCACACACACGCAACACAGGACACACACACCCACACCCGCACAGTAGCCAACCCACACTTCTGCATGTTCCAGTGGAATGAGGACAGCGGTCTCTCTTGTGGCGCTGTCCTCAAAACACCACCCAGGAGAGGCGGAGAGTGGGCCCGCCAAGGGTGCCTGGGTCTGGGGTTGTCTGACCGTCTGCATTGCGGGATGTGTGTTTACAGGGACGGTCGGCCTCTGCTGGGGGGAGCCCGAGGTGCGTCGCGAAGGGACGCCCAATGTCCCAGGTGTCCCCGTGCCCGGCTTGATGGTCTGAGCTGAGGACTCTGGGCACAGCTTCCATAAGGGGGTGGGGGAGACCTGACCCTTCTCACCAGGTCCAACCCTACAAATACTGATTTTGGAGAAAACCCTGTGAAGGGAGGCATTTTCTGACCCTGCAGTGACTTCCCGAAGGAGCTCTGGCAGGGGTGATCTTCTAGCCGATTCTCACCTATAACCCAGGGTCTGTGTCCGGCCGGATGGTGGCCTGAGGTCTGTCTTCCTCAAAACACGACATCCCTCCCAGCAGCCCCCTTTCCCTCTTTCTGCCTCTGGGAACAAACTCGGATTTCCCTAAAAGGTGAAAGGTAGCAAAAGATTGTAAAGAGCTTTCCCGTGTTTCAAAGAACTGAAGTCTTTCCTCTCCCCCAAAAAAAGCCCTGCAGTTGGGTCCAGGGTCTTGACCTCCAGAGAGAACACGAAATCCTCCTCTCTCACCACCAGCAAGCAGCAGGTGGCACAGAGGGACTTGCCCCAGCAGTGGGGTGGACTGGCGGGAGCTTAGACGGGATGCATTCATGGGGGATGGGCGGTTGCCTGTCTGGTGTGGGTACCAGGGTCGAGGCAGAAGGCCAAAAGGTCAAGTCTAACTGTGAAGATGGTGAGGAGGCCAGGGCTGGATGCTTCTGAGCCGGGATGAGATTTTCCCCGGGAGAACCCCCGCCAGCACAGCCCCTCTGCTCCTGGAGCACCACGGCTTTTCCTTTCCTAAACCATCAGCCCATCGGGCCCGGGCTGACCTGGTTGGAGGGCTTTCCTGAGAGCTGCTCGGGGACGGGTGGAAGGTGCCACGCACATAGCGCCGGTCACACTGCCTGGCCCAGGCACCCCCTCAAACACAGGGCCTTGGAAGGCCTGGCAGAGGGCTCTGAGGTGCCCTCTGTGCCCAGAATCCCAACTGACCTGACACTCACAGCAGCCGGACATGCAGGGGGCCCAGGCACCGGAGCAAAGGGGATCCTGGTGGCTGTCCATTTGGAACGAGGCCTCCTGACTCCCTGCCCAGCCCCTCGGCCTCCTATCACTCCGCAGGTCCCTGCTGCAGGGGGGAGGCTGCTGCCGGGAAGGGGGCTCTGCCCAGCTCCCCACGCACACCCTTCCCCACATGAAGGAGCCGCTGCACAACACTCCGTTGTCCCCTGAAATCTGGGATTTTTTGGCCTCGTGCTGAACTTGGACATTCTCAGCATTTGGGCCATTCAAGTGTGATGGGATGGGTGCCCAGGTTCAGGCTGGTGGGAGCGTCAAAACCTGACCCTGGGTCTTAGCTCTGGACCCATCTGGGCCGGTTCCACGCCCAGACCATCCGGGAGGGAGAGGGGAAGGGAGACGGGAATGAAAACGCAAAGCCGAATGGGTTCATGCACTGAGGCTGGAAAATGAGTAAATGTCCCTTTACCTTCCCTCCGAGAAGCGGGTCTTGCCTCACGGATCACTGTGGTCCTCAGAGCCGTGCACGTCTACGGGCACACGCGCTGTTTCCGGCAAGGACCACACGTGCCTCGGCACTGTTTTAAGGACACGTGGAGTCAATTCCTTGGCAAGAGAAGGTAGACCCCATTTATGAGTTTTGTGGTTTGGGAGTTTTACATCTGGTTGGACGTGGCCTCTCCTCCCCCACACGTTTGGGAGCCTTAAAACACTGTGGGCCGTGGCCGGAGGTGGGGGGACTTGGGTAGGTCCGCCGACATCTCCAGCTCCAGTATCCCGTTCCGAGGGTGACGGTGCTTCCTGCTCCTTATGGGCATGGGGAAGTATCACAGATGGTGGCTGACTCAGTCCGTGGTTGGACGCAGGTACAGAAAACCGGTATTTTGTGGGGCAGCCCCGGTTGTAAATTCTGAGCATTAGAGAGCTAGGCTGCTGGACCCGCCGTGGAATCCCTCTGTCCCGCTTTGCACAGAAGCTCAGGCCCAGGGAGGCAGGCTGTGCCCACACTCCGCGCGGAGGCGGGATTCGAACCCGGGGTTACTGGGCCGGCGGTGCAGGGCGGGGCTCCCCTGCGAGTGACAGCGGCCGCGGCCTGTGAGCCGCGCCAGGCTCGGCCCCGCCCCTCGGGTCCCGGGACCCCCTCGCTGCCGCCGCCATAGCGGTGCCCTTTGGAGGGGTCGCCCGCCCGCATCCGCATCTCGCATCCCGCAGGTCCTGGCTCCCTCCCTCGGCCCCGCATCCCTCTCCATCCCCTGCGTCAGCCTTCTTCCACCGCGGGGGAGGCCGCGCAGCCCCGCTTTGGTGCTGATGAGACTCGGGGCCCGCGCTCGTCGCCGCTCCCCTCCTGCGCCCGCCCCGGTGTGCGCCCTGGGCGCGGAGCCCGCGCTGCCCACGAAGTCGCTGGGACGGCGGCCTGCGGGTCGTGCTGCGTCGCCTCTCCCGGCCTTGGCGCCTGGACCTCTGGGACTGTTCCCTCCGGCGGACTCTATTTCGCCTGTTTACTTAGAGGGAAAGCCCGGGGCTCCCGCAGAGCAAACATCTGCGGGAGATAATCTAGCGAGTTGTCCATCCATCACTCGGGTCGCCCGGCTCCCTGGAGAGCCCGCGGGGGCCTGTAATAAAAAGACCCAGCGAAGAGGCTTTGGGGACGAATAAAGAGCCGTGTTAAGGGCCCGCTGGAAATGGATGGAAGACATTATTAAGGCTCAATGGCCTTCTTATCAAAATCCGATAGGATAGACATTTGGCAAAAGGCTTAAATTTATTCTTTGACTTTCTGGAGGGCTTGAATTTATCCGTTAACAAGAGTGTAGTCCACCCGGGGAGATGGTATCAGCTAAAAGAATTTTGATTTAATCTCTGGTGATATGAAAAGGGGACATGCTAGCCCCGGCCGCCTTCCCTTTGTCCCACTTTATCTTGTTTTCTTTGACCATCTCGAGAAGGAAGGACGTGTTAATACGGTACAACTGGGGGGAAAGGCAAACAAAAGGAAGTGACCTTTTCCTTTTTTTATTTTTATTTTTCCTTCTCCTTCCCTCCTCTGTCTGCCCCCAGCCTGCCAAAAATCAGGAATTTGCATCGGTAGGACCAGGACCGGAAGAAGAAAGGTGCCACCCAGCCGGCGCTCTGGGCGACTGGGGGCGGGCGCGCGGGGTGTGCAAGCGGTGCGTGGGGAGTCGGGGTCCGAAGGAAAGAAAGCTAATGAAGTCCGGTGCTGGAAGAGGGAGCACGATGGCTCCATAAATCTCTCTCCCATCATTATGTGCAAAATGCTACAGGTCATAAAAGCCATCTGATAGCCCAGCCTGGCACTGTCCACACAGGGTGATTGATTGATAATTATTTAATTTGTGAAATGATTATTTGGATGTTAGGACCGTGGTCTGCACGGCTGGCTGTTGTGTGCGTGTGCTCCACGGCCTGCCCACCCCCCACCCCCTCCGGGAGATGCCTCTGCTCTCCGGGATCCCTCCTGGGATGTGGGGATGCTGGGGGCTGGGCTCCGCCCAGGGCGTCCAGGAAGACAGCTCTTCAAGTGACAAGAAGGTGGGAGTGGAGACCATAGGCAGCTGCTAAGTGTGTTTTGTGCTCGCACGCCCCAAGGTGTAAGCGTGTTGCTGCTGGGCCGTGGAAACTCCGCCCAGAGCCCCAGAGCCAGGTCGTGCCATGCGTTTGCTGCTACGTCCTGGGGTCTGTGGCTCTGGCGTGCTGTGGAGGTGGCTGGGGGCCCCGGGGAAGGTGGTGGAGAGACCAGGGATGTGTCTCTGCACCTCTTAAGAAGGGGAGGTCTGAAAATGCAGAAGCCCCCCCTGCAAAAAGGGCTGATGGGCGCACTCGGGGTGCCACTGGTCTCCGTCGGGCGGTAAGCCTTGCTGGGTCCTTCTCATGCTTTGCCTGAGCCAGTGAGGACGGCCTTAGCAGTCCTTTCCGTTTTCCTCTTCCGCTTCCAGCCAGCAACCCTCAGGAGCCACCAACACCCCGTAACTCACCCGCATTTTACCTGCAAAGACGCCGTCTTACCCCCCCCAATCACATGGGAGACCCCAGCACTCAGAATCCTGCAACCACAATTAATAATTTGCATGTGGGATCGGTTATGTCTTTATGAAATCAAAGTGTGTTTAGCTGCCACAGAGACAGCCCTGAGTTGATTTT